AAATAAAATAAATAGAATAGACTAGAAGCAGTCTGTACATCCTGTGCCTTGGCTGTGGTAAAGCAGCAGTGAAGTAATCTCAGCATCTCAGACATCCATGGTATGACGGCTGGTGGCACCGCTGAGACTTTCCCCGGGGGGCTTCTAGCTCCCCGCCTGATCGTGTTAGGGGCTCAGGGGTGCATGTGGGCTGTGATTATGGTGCAAGGTCCCTCTCCCTCGTGGTCCCTCGGGGGTAACAGGCCCAGAGGGCAGCGAGCGGCAGCTGGAAGTGGCTGAAAGCACAGCCTGGGCCCTGGTGGCAGGACCTCCTGGCCACAGGATTGATGAAGTTTTGGAATGAGGCAACGTCTGGTGGGGGGAGGTCTGGAGCCGATGACCAAGAAAGAATTCTTGAGACGTCTTTGGTGCAAAATGGTGGTTTTATTAAAGCCCCGGGGACAGGACCCCTGGGCAGGAAGAGCGGCTGCCTTGATGGTTGGCTGATTACACCCCTGGGAGCTGGGAGGGGTTTGAGGACTGAGAATAAGGATTCCTTATTCTCTAAGGAATTTTGGAAGCAAGGTTTCCAGGACCTTGAGGGGGTCCTAGCTATTGTTGGGAACAGGTCACTTATTACCGTCTAATAAAACCTGAGTCATGGGACACCTGGGTGGCTCAGTGGTTTTGCATCTGCCTTTGGTTCAGGGCCTGATCCTGGAGTCTGGGGATCGAGTTCCACGTCGGGCTCCCTGCATGGGGCCTGCTTCTCCCTCTGCCTGTGTCTCTGCCTCTCTCTCTCTCTCTCTCTGTCTCTCATGAATAAATAAATAATTTTTTTTTTAAAGGAAAGGTGTTATGTCACCACTTGCTACTCCAGCAGTGATTCTAACCGCCTCTCGTAGGAAGGGGAACAGACACGAATTGTTTCCCCCCATTTTGGGCGAAGACAGTGGGTCTGCGTGCAAGGGATCTGTGTGGAGTTAAAGAGCAAGTGAAAGGAGGGGCACGCTCTGAGCCCCGTCTGTACTTTTGCCCTCATTTCTGTGTCAGCTTTGAGCCAGACGCACTTGTTTAGGGCCTTGTCAACAGGTTATGCAAGTGAATCACCTGAAAAACGCCTGCAGCAAAACACAGCAGAGCCAGTCCTGGAGGTGTTGAATTCTGACCCTAATTTGCGTCCTGGGTGGAGCTGTAGGGTGCAAGGGCCTGGCACATCCCCCCCCCCCCCCCCCCCCCCCCGCACGCAACCAAATCTTTGTCCTGCCCTTCCCTGACCCCTCCCAGCCCTGCACCTTTGTGGCTTTCATACCTACCAGGCTCTGGCACTGAGGCTTCTAGAAAATCTGAAGAGACCTCCTTTCCCCTTGGTTATGAAGTTCAGTGGGTGGAGTGGTTTGGCTCAAAAACTTGCCTCTTAAAAAAAAAAACAAACTCATGTATTATTTTTTCCCCACATTTACCCACGAGGGGTCAAGGGAGTCTGAGATTTCCCCCCCCCCTCAGGCTTTTAGGCAAACCACAGAATTTCTCAAATGCAGCCGTCACAGGGATGCTGAGGGCATTCCCGCACCCCCTATAACTCTATATAATTTGTATTAGAAAATACATTTACGGAGAGATCTATAAAGTTTTCAAAAACAGTTTGGGGATGATGGCATCACAGAGTTACATCGGTTTATGGGTGCTCCTGCAGAGTCAGGAGTGGGAAAAAAAAAAAGACATCGTGGGGGCAAACCCCATAGCAGCAGCAGCTCCCTGAAGCTGAACCTGCTGGGAGGGTTTCGCAGCCAAGCCCTGGAGGATGACTGGAGGTGCAGGCGGCCTGAGCTCTAGTCCTGCTTCTGGAGGCTTCCTGGTCCTCTGACCAAGTGCAGGTGCCGGGCAGTGGGGGACAGCGGGGGTGATTCCGAAGTGGCTGAAGACATCAAGGTCTCCCACGGGCTGCCTTGCTCTAGGCCCGACAGCAGGTGGACATAGGTGCCCCCCGCCCTGCGGGGAGGGGAGTCCAGAGGCTTCTCTTCACCTGCCGGGGCCATCGTGATTTATAAGAAGCACATAGTCGGTGTTGGTCGTTGATGCTGGCACAGGCTCCCAAAAAACCCTTTTGGAATTTCTAACTCCAGAGGACGGCCAAGGTGTCTTGTTATGCTAATGAGGCAGGCCACCAGGTTGGCAGGAGCGGCCACCCTGTGATTAGAGGTTTGGAACTTCCCGCTGCCTCTCTCCAGACCTCCTGGGAGGGCAGACAGACAGGATGGAGATTGAATTATTATTTTTTTAAAGATTTATTTATTTATTTATTTATTTATTTATTTATTTATTTATTTATTTATGATAGACATAGAGAGAGAGAGGCAGAGACACAGGAGGAAGGAGAAGCAGGCTCCATGCTGGGAGCCTGACGTGGGACTCGATCCCGGGACTCCAGGATCACGCCCTGGGCCAAAGCAGGTGCTAAACCGCTGAGCCACCCAGGGATCCCCTGGAGATTGAATTCTATTAGCAATGGGCACTGACTTAGTCATCCTACATAACGAAGTGTCCATGAAAACAGGGTTCGAGGGACTTCCCAGGTGGGTGGACACACTGGAGATTTGGGGAGAGGCTTGGGAGCCCCATACTCTCTCCTCAGACCTTGCCCTGTGCATCTCTTCCATCCAGTTATGTCCTTTTATAACGGAGTCATATCCTTTTATAATAAACAGGTATTAGTGAGTAAAATGTTTCTCTGAGTTCTGTGAGCCCCACTAGCAAATTAACAGAAGCCAAGGAAGGTGTCGTGGGAACCTCCGATCTGTAGCTGGTCAACCAAAAGCACAGCTGGCAACTTGGACTTGCTAGTGGGGTCTGAAGTGGGGGTCCGTCTGGTAGGAGGACTAAGCCTTTCAATCTGTGGGATCCGACGCTCTCTCCTGGGAACGGTGTTAACACGAAATTAAACTGCTGAACACCCAACCGGTGTCAGACACCTGCTTGGTGGCATCGGAAGACTCACATGGCACAACTATGTGCAGAAGTTTAGCACCGCCTTCAGCCCAGAGCCTGATCCTGGAGACATAGGTTTGAGTCCCACATCAGGCTTCCTGCATGGAGCCTGTTTCTCCCTCTGCCTGTGTCTCTGCCTCGGTCTCTCTGTGTGTCTCTCATGAATAAATAAATAAAATCTCAAAAAAAAAAAAAAAGAAGTACCTGCCCTACTGCAAGCCCTTTCCCACGGTTTCTGTGGGGACTCAGTCAAAGGGCAAGTTACAGATGCCCTACATGGGACCTGCACCTGCCAGCCACCCCCCTCCCCCAGACCTGAGACTCCCACCTGGGGAGTCTGCTGGCAGTTGCAACCTGCAGCACCCCCCACCTCCCACCCCAAGGGCCAGCATTTCCCAACTCAGAGAGAAGAAACAGGTGCTTCACCACCTCCTAAGCCACCAGTGAAAAGCGCAGCTTCCTGGTCCCACAGGAGGCTCTCAATCAAAACCCTGCAACCCCTATAGGGACATAAAGCTCGACTTTATTATTATTTTTGTTGAATATTTTTTTAAGATTTTATTTATTCATGAAAGACACACAGAGAGAGAGAGAGAGAGAGGCAGAGACACAGGCAGAGGCAGAAGCAGGCTCCACGCAGGGAGCCCGATGTGGGACTCGATCCTGGGTCTCCAGGATCACACCCTGGGGCAAAGGCAGGCGCTAAACTGCTGAGCCACCCAGGGATCCCCTGGACTTTAAATTGAACCAGTCTTTCTCTTCCTTGTTCCTGAAGCCTCTCCCCCTCCCCCCTCACAGTTTTTCTGTAAAATCCTTTGTTCCAAGAGCTCAGGATTGGGATAGACGTTGAGAGTTGGTAACAACACCCCATGGCCAGAGCCAGTGCCAGTCGCCAGGCCACCTGGAGACCTGGTGACCACGGCTCGCAGCACGGCCCAGGTTCCTATCAAATCTGCCCAGATCATGTATTTTCCCCTAAAAACCCCTCAGCCTTTCTACTCTGGGTGGGCTTGGGGTCTGGGAGGCACCAGCCAGCTGCAGCCTCCTTCCCCCAGCAAAGTGATACACTATCTTCCTTCTTTCCACCCAGACTCGGTCTTCGAGTTGCATTTTTTTTTGGCTCCAGAGCAGAGGGCAGTTTTTTCAACAATTGGAGGTTCTGGCAATTTTCACTTTCGGGACTGTGGGCCGCTGGGGTCGGTGAAGGATCTCAAGATAGCTGGGCGAAAACTTGCTCTAAAAACCATTGACTGGGTAGCTTTTGGGGAGATCATACCCCGAAACCAGAAGGCCATTGCCAACTCCCTGAAATCCTGGGATGAGATGCTTACCTCCAGGTTGGCTACTCTTCCTGAGAAACCACCTGCTATCGACTGGGCTTACTACAAGGCCAATGTGGCAAAGGCTGGCTTGGTAGATGACTTTGAGAAGAAGTTTAATGCCCTGAAGGTTCCTGCGCCAGAGATAAATACACTGTCCAGGTGGATGCTGAGGAAAAAGAAGATGTGAAAAGCTGTACTGAGTTTTTGTCCCTCTCAAAGGCCAGGATTGAAGAATATGAAAAAGAGCTGGAGAAGATGAAGAACATAATTCCATTTGATCAGATGACCATTGAGGACCTGAATGAAGTCTTCCCAGAAACCAAATTAGACAAGAAGAAGTATCCCTATTGGCCTCACAAGCCAATAGAAAATTTATAAACTTGAGTTGAGGAGAAAGCCCTGGCCCTCATATTATAAACGTTGGACATTAAAAATAATGATATGGAAAAAAAATTTTTTTCACTTTCAACCGATGCGTGAGCTGAGGCTCCTCCTGCACGCTGAAGGGTTTCTAGAGAACTCTCCACCCCTACCTTCACACCTCAGCCGAGTTCTAGACGAATCTGGGCCTCTCTTCCTCCCCCTGGGCCCCGGGGTGGCACAGGTGCTCCAAGGAGGTCCCTGACCTCTCCTGCCCAACAAGGTCAGCCTCACTGGAGGCTGCAGGCATCTCTTGGGCAAGGCTGGAGAAAAACTCTGCACACACAGAAACATTGTACAAATTGAGGGTTTTATTTACATCATAGGGCAAGCAAAGGATACAAAAGGAGCCTCTTGGTCAAGCGCTAAAGGCAAAGCTCTAAACCTCAATCCTCAGTAGGGCACGGATCCGGACATTTTTAAAAAATCAAAAACTGAAGACAGAGAAAAAGGCAAAAAGGTAATCTGCAACCTGCAGGTCCTGTCGGCGGGGAAACGAGCACCCAGTGACCCTGCGGACAAGCTCATCACTGAACATGTGAATCTGGCTCCCGGGACAATCCCCGCAAGGCTCCGACTGGTGAAACTTCTAGGTTAATTCCTAATCAGACTACTCGGATTTTAGGGGCTGATAGTGTCTCCAATTTGGGGGTGGGGCGGGGAAGGTCTCCATGGGCCAGGCCTTGGCAGCTCCAGTACCTTCCCTGGTCATTTTTCCATCCCTCTGGGCACTCAGGGGGCTTCTCCGGGGTGGGTCCGCATCATCCTCCAAGCCCACCCTGAGCCCCTTCCTCCCGTCTCCCATCTCCCACCTCCGGTGGCTGCCCAGGCCCTGCTCTCCCACTAAACTATGCTTGGCTTTTTCTTCCACTGAGGTCTCTTTCCAACACCCCCCCCTTCCCCCAAGTCCCAGTGTGGCCAGGCAAGCTGTAATTATCTTGTGAAAATGTGCCACTATCGACTTTGATCATTTGAGTTAAAACAAGACCATCTGTTTTCTCTTTTCCCCACAAATATTGATGATGCAGAACGGGATCCAAGTTCATCTTCGACATGGGCCTCCAGAGCGCCTCGCTACCACTTTCTCCTACACGGGGGGTGCCTTTTTCTTGTCCATCTGTCTGTCTTTCCTACCTTCTCCACTCCCTGGTGCCAGCTGGTTGGCCTGACTGGCGAGGCAGCAGCCCTGAGGCCTCCTGGGCAAGGCCCAGGAAACTTCTTGGGGCAACACGCAGGTGTTGCCACCTACCCTGCAGACTGATCAGCAACGACTATCCAGACTTCTGGATATTCTGGAAATGGGGGGACGGGGCCTCTCATGGGGGTTGGCGGCGGGGTGTGGTAAGAGGAGCCCCCTTGTTCTTTCACCTCCCTTGCCAATGAATGGTCCAGTGGCAGTCCCTGGGTCATCTGGGGGGGAGCATCCAGCCCAGGACCCGTGAGGCACCAGCCTCTGAATCCAAGTGAGATGGGGACAAAGGTTGGCAGCACCAAAGAGGAAGGATGCCACCAAGGCAGCCAGTGAGGCCTCATGGGCCTCAGGGGTGTTTTAAGCACCAGCCATGGCACCTGCAGCCACCCAGCGTCCCTGGTCCCCACCTGGAGCCAAAAACCCAGTCACCTAAGAGTTTCCAGGGCTGATAAACCAGGCCTGGCGCCCATACTTCCTCTTCTCCTCCCATCAACTTTCTCGTTTCAACTTCCAGCACCTCAATCTCCTACTTACTGGGTCCTTCTCTAAATCACACACTCTCCTTGCCAGACGTAGTGTCTCCCTCTCTCCCAAGACAGAGCACCTTTGGTGGCTTGGTGGAGAGGCGGCCAACAGCTGGCAGGAGCAGGCGACAGTGGCCCCCCCAGCAGCCAGCCACAGGCGGGCAGCTCCCAACCCCCAGCCGGACTGGGCCGGACTGGGCACGACGGGGGCGACTCCTCCAAGCACCCTCTCCAGCCCAGCAGCCTGTGCCTGAGCTCCCCGCTTCCCTCACCGCCAGCTGCACATTCGGGGCCCGGGGTGGGGGTGGGAATCACAAGCTTTATCTGCTTTCCACAGTCACACGGCATCATCACAGTTTTCAAAGCATCACAACCTTCAAAGAGATTTTCCTTCCTTCCTTCTTCTCAAGCCCATAATTAAACTCCGGGCAACAACGGGGTGGAGGAAGGAGATGGGGCGCACGACAGACGAGCAGCTCCATTGCTGCCCCCAGAACCGAGGCAGCCGGGGCCGGGAGCGCTGAGCACTGTATCAGCCTGTGATCTTTCCAGAACATAACAGATCATCTTAGTCCAGGTCTAAATCCCTTCTCCCGGCTTGTAAGCACTGCTCGGCGACCCCCCCAGAGTGCTTCCATCTGTCAGGTGTCTGCCTCGATGCCTCCCCCCCACCCTCCCCCCCGCCCCTCTGAAGGCTCCGGTGCTACCAAACCAGAATTAGGGGCCTAACTCTCTGCGGGATTGTCCATCGGAGCCACCTGTGTCCTGGAGTCGTGCAAAGCTCAGCGGATGGGCAGGGACGTCCCGTTCACAGCACTCATCCAAGTTCAGCAAAGAGAGACATTGTTTTCCTGCGAGGATTTGGTGGGTTCAGGTCGGAGATGGTCCTGGATCCGCGGGGCTCCCATCCTTGGGGTACGTCGGGGCCCGGCCGGCCGCGCAGCTCCGTTAGCGGACGAACGAGACCACGCTGGTGGCCACCCCGAATGGGGCGGAGTAGGCCGCGGCGAAGCCCTGCAGGCCCAGGACCACGTAGCGGCAGCCTTTGATGACCACCTTCCCGACGTTCTATTTTTGAGAAGACAAGAGAAAAGCAAAGGGCCGGGTGAGGCAACTCTGATCCCTGCACAAAGGACCATCCCCCCGCAGCCTCTCAGGGCAAATTAGCACATGTTCCCACATCCACCCCCACTTTGAGAACATGTGGGGGTTCAGAAGACACATTACCATCTTGCAAAGTACTCTTTCTTTTTTTTTTTTTTTTTAAAGATTTTATTTATTTGAGAGGGAAGGAGAGAGGGGGGAGAGAGGGAGACTTCCCTCTGAGCAGGGCACCCCGATGCGGGGCTGGATCCCAGGACCCCGGGACCATGAGCTGAGCCAAAGGCAGATGCGTAACCCACTGGGCCACCAGGTGCCCCGCTGCGAAGTCCTTTCAAGCACTGCCTATGTCCAGGTAGTTGGGACATCCTGGGAACAGTGGTGAGGGTGCTAGCTCTAAAACCAAGCCAGTTGTGTCTTTTTGTTGTTTTCACAATAGGCTCCATGCCCAACATGGGGCTTGAACTCGTGACCCTGAGATCAAGAGTCACATGCTCTAGTGACTGAGCCAGCTGGGTACCCTTGGTTTTATTTTTAAACCAAAGCCTACTCCTCTTCTCTGTTCCAGCCAAGTCACTGCATCATCTGAAGGGGGGGTCAAGGTCCCCTCCTTGACCTTATCCAAAAGCCCACCATGCCATCCCTCCATCTCCCAGGATGGATTTGGGTCCAAGAGGCATGTTTGGCTCTAGAGGCTCCCGCTATTCTCTGATTGCTGCGTCCTCCAGCACAAGTATAACCTCCTGAAGGCTGAGGCCTCCACTGTGCTTTCTTGCTACCCACTCCTTTTCTGCATAGCCTGGCTCTGGGGGTGGGGGGGTGGCATCCACGAGGTTCAAATGGAACTGCAACAGAAGACTCGAGACCACCAATAGCAGCTGTGCTGCTGCCCACTCAACCCTCCTTCCCCTTCCCACCCCTAACTCCCATCGTCATTCTCAATGTTGACATCCTTGCAGGCTGACCACACACCTTGTCTCTCAGCCCCCCGACTTTTCCAACTCCGACAAGCACCTAACATCCCTGGTTTCACCTACAATCCTTGACCATAATCACAACCCTCAGAGCCACCACTGCCCAGCAAACCTGTCTGTCTAGTAGGCTGACCCTCCCCCTCTCCGGGACGGAGGGACTTTCTTGGGCTCACTACTGTATCCCCAGCACCCAGAAAGGGCCTGGGACTTTCCATTGGAAACTCTCAGGCTAAGTAAGAAGCCAAACCTGGGAGAGAGCCAGGTAACATCTATGGCCTCTCCAAACCCTGACTCCTGGCATGTGGCCTGTCAACTTCTCGGTGGGGTATTAGGGTGCATGCGGAGGGTGGGGGGGGGTGTGATGTTGCCGAGAGACATGTCTATAAATGTGTAGGGAGATTCAGTGGGAGAATTTTACTTACCTCCTTGAAGTAACAATAACAAAAGACTGTTCTCTGGGAGCAAGTACTATTATGCTTTACAGTCCTGTATAAGCAGTACCACCGGAGTCACGGATGGCCTGCGTTAAACTTGACATTTTTGGCATTTGTACACCCATTTTCCTCAGCGTGATATTTTCAAAAGCTGTGAGTCACTTCATCTTTGCAATTTAGAAAAAAGCTACTAAAATAGCTCATTAGTTGGAACACTGTCAGAAGAACGCAGGTTTGAGAAAAGTGATAGAAAGAAATGTGAGATGTCCATTGAAGGCCATCTCAGTGTCATTTGAGGGAGGTTTTGAATTGTTTGATGGGAGTCAAGTTTTCAGCCCAAATAATCTGTCAGAGAAGCAGTGGGGGACGCAGGGGAGTGGGGAGGCTGAAGAATGCCCCCCAATCCCAAGAACCTATAAATACGTGGCTTTATATGGCAAAAGGGATTTTGCAGATGTGATTAAATTAAGAGTCTTAAGGGGACGCCTGGGTGGCTCAGCTGGTTAAGCATCTGCCTTCAGCTCAGGTGTTGTGATCCCGGGGTCCTGGGATCGAGTCCCTCTCGGGTTCCCTGCTCAGTGGGGAGCCTGCTTCTCCCTCTCCCACTGCTCGCTCTTTCTCTCAAATAAATAAAATCTTTAAAAAATTAAAAAAAAAAGAATTAAAAGTAATAATGGATAGCTTATGATTTAAGAAAAAACTAAGGGTCTTAAGATGGGGAGATGCTCCTGGATTATGCAGGTGGGCCTCCTATATATTTACACGGATCCGAAGGAGCACAACTGTCCTTCTAAGAGGAGTCAGACAGGAGGCAGTGTCACGACAGAAGCAGAGGGAAAGATCTGCAGATCGACGCGGCTGGCGGTGATGGTGGAGGATGGGGACCTCGGGAAGCAAGAAAGAGCAACAAAACTGGTTTTTCCCTGGGCCTCCATGGGAACCGGCCTGCTGACGTCAGCAGGGGGGAGATTGATTTCGGACTTCTGGCCTCCAGACATGTGCAACTGCTGGTGTCCTAAAACCACTGTGTTGGCAGTAATCTGTCACAGCTGTCACGGGATGTCACACTTTCTGGGGGTCCTCTGTATTCAACTAACCCCCAGGGAAGCCAGGGATTCCCTGCCCTCTCCAGTTTCAGAAAAACCAAAACCAAAAATGCCTGGGTGATTCTGTCGGTGAACATCTGCCTTTGGCTCAGGTCATGAATCCGGGGTCCTGGGAGGGGTCCCCGAGTCGGGCTCCCTGCTCAGAGGGGAGTCAGCTTCTCCTTGTCCCTCTGCCCCTCCCCTGCTCGTGCTCTCTCTCTCTCAAAATAAATAAAATCTTTAAAAAATAAAACAAAAACCCAAACCAAAACCCATCCGCAGGGGGAAGGATCGCTTCCCCCTGAATATAAAGATCACGTCTTGGGTTTTGAGATGTGGGCAGGACGCAGGCACAAAGGGGAGCTCGGCCGTGGGCTACAGACCGAGGTTTGGCTCTGAGCTGCTGAGGCCTGATTAAAAAACGAATCAGAAAATCAGCCGTCCTGCGAGGTCTCTCCTTCACCCCCTGGGACAACAGCCAGTCACAAAGGCCTTGGCACGAGCCAGGTGAGCTCGGAGATCTCTGCGTGCATGAACCCGCTTGCTCCTGCCCGGAACCCTAGTTTTAGCCCATGTCTCAGATGAGGAAACGGAGGCAAAGACATGGGCCCAGCCCAAGGTCACAAAAGCAACAGGCGGCAGGATGGGGCTTGAGCCGGGCGGCCTGGCTCCAGCGCCCCTGGCCTTACCTGCTGCCACCAACTGAGGACATGAGGACAATTTTTCTCCCTCTTGAGCTAAAGGCTATTATTCCACACATTGTATCCCCCCCTCACCCCCTCCTAGCTGCCTGAGGAACAAAATTTACTTACTTTCCTTATCCACACTGCCCCTGTGGCTCTCAGGGGTGCCTGGGAAAGGCCAGCTCTCCTCTTAAGCTAAGTTTTGGCGGTGAGTCCGCCTCAACCCATGTGCTCCTGCACAGGCAGTGCCAGGCGAGACTCCTGCCTCCCCCCTCCCAGCTTTCCAAGGTTTTAGGGACGCTTCAGAGGTCCCACACAATGCGCAGCAGAGCACCTGGCATGTTGAAGCAGAACAGCAAGCATCTGCTCCCTTCCCTTCCCTCCTCCCAGAAAATGGCACTTCCACGACAGTGAAAGCACCAGGTGAACACTAGTGTCATTCCTGACAAGTCCCCAGGGAACTCGGACGGAGGAGCCAGAGGCCAGCACACAGCCCCTGAGCCCCCAGCCGCCTTCCCGAGGCCGGAGCTGCAGGACACAGGGACGGGCTGGACCCCTGGGCAGCAGGAGAGAAGAAATCCTTTTGTGGCCCACAAAGGCCAAATGCCTTTCTTTAAACAGACGCAGGAAGGGACTTGGGCGCAGGACTTGAATGGTTAACACATGAATAGGAACTGCAAACCCCCTTCCTTGAAGGAAAAGCCACCCGTTAACAATGGGGAGCCTTTGAGTCACTCCTTATTCCACTGGGCCCCATAAGGGAAAGACTCACCTCCCCACACTGCTAGGGAGGCTTGGCGTTGCCCCTGGATTTTCAGCAAAGAGGGGTGGGCTATTTCCTTCCTCCCTGTTGGAACCTAACCGGTTACCTTCCCCGACACCTCCAAGAATGCAGAGGGACACCTGGGTGCCTCAGTGGTTGGCCGTCTGCCGTTGGCTCAGGTTGTGACCCCAGGATCCTGGGATCGAGTCCCGTATCAGGCTCCTGCAGGGAGCCCGCTTCTCCCTCTCTCTGCCCCTCGCCCCTGCTTGTGCTTCTTTCTCTCACTCTCAAATAAATAAAATCTTTTAAACTAAAAAAAAAAAATTTCACAAAACAAAAATTAGCCATTTTAAAGTGAAAAATTCAGTGGCATCCAGCACATGGACCGTGTTGTGCGACCAGCACTTTACCTACTTCGGAGACATTTCCATCAGCCCAAAAGGAAGAGCCGCACACACCTGTTAACCCACTTGCCCATCATTTTTGCTTCTCCCCAGTCCCTGGCAACCACCCATCTCCCTCCCTCCCTCTGCACTTAACCAATTTTGGATATTCTATATAAATGGAATCCTACACACACACAGTATGTGATCTCGTGTGTCTGGTTTCTTTCACTTAGCATAATGTTTTAGAGGTTCGTACGAGACAGGGAAATAAAGGGGTCCCATGAAAAAGTGTTATTTTTCCCGCTTCTATCTTCGCCAGGCCCACACCCTCGCCCTACACACACCTTATAGAACAGATATTGTATGTCGTTCCTGTAAAGGGCAAGCATTTAATCATTGCTTTGGAGTCTTCCAGCACAACAGGTAACACCTAAGGAGGGACCCGACCAAGACCACTGACTCATCGAGATCCCTGGCTCCAGGGTCTACGTGTCTAATGGAGGAGGACACACAAACACACCTGTTTGTTCCTGGATTACTGAGAAGACACTTGCACCAGACCATTATCCCCAGGCTCCAGGCCCCAAGCACAGACAAAACTCCTTTTTCTTCCCGGGTCTCCAAGACACTCTGCATTTATCTATATTCTCTACGTCTTCAATAAACTCTGCTCTGGGGACGCCTGGGTGGCTCAGCGGTTAAGCATCTGCCTTTGGCTCAGGGCGTGATCCTGGGGTCCTGGGATCGAGTCCCACTTCGGGCTCCCTGCATGGAGCCTGGTTTTCCCTCTGCCTATGTCTCTGCCTCTCTCTCTCTCTCTCTCTCTCTCTCTCTCTCTCTCTCTCTCTCTCTCGTGAATAAATAAATAAATAAAATCTTAAAACAAACAAAACAAAACAAAAACCTCTGCTCTAACCTCTTCTTGGCTCGAGTGTTGAGTGTCATCCTGCACAGAGCCAAGGACCCTCCTCGGACCCAGCCAGCCTGCCTCTCACCCACGTTGTGGCACAGAACAGTTCATTCCTTTTTACGGCCGAATAGCATTCCATCCTACGCACACACCACATTTTGTTCATCATTTATCAGCGGATGGACATATGGGTGGTTCCCATCCTTTGGCTACTCTGGTACGCTGCTATGATCATGGACTGTTCGATATGTTCTCTCTCGAATATATGTGTGTATACGTCAGTGCTTCTTTCCGATTATTTGGGGTGTATACCTAGGAGTGGAGTTGCTGAATCATATGGCAGGTCTATGCGTACTTTTTTGAGGAACCTCCAAACGGTTTACCACAGCAGCTGCACCATCTTGCATTTCCATTAGCAATGGAATTCACAGAATTCCAATTTCTCCATATCCTTGCCAACATTTATTCTTTTTAAGATTTTATTTATTTATGAGAGACAGAGAGAGAGAGAGAGAGAGGCAGAGGGGCCCGACGTGGGACTCGATCCCGCGTCTCCAGAATCATGCCCTGGGCTGAAGGCAGGTGCTTAACCCCTGAGCCACCCGGGCTGCCCCATTTGTTATTTTTTAAATAAGAGCCATCCTAGTGAGGGTGAGTAGTACCTCCTCATTTACCTGTGAAACCTCAACCCTCTCTGCCAAGTTCTCATGTCACCATTGATTTCAAAATGCCCCTGACTTTAAACCCTCAATCCTCCGGACTCTGGACTATGGGGCTCCGTGGGGTGCCCCAGCTATGCCAGGAGCTCCCCGGGAGGCGTGGACTTCACTAGGGCAGGTGGCATTCCATCTGTTTTTCTACCCCTAGCTGTTAGCACAATCCCTGCTCGAACTGAGCACTCGAAACCCGTCTTCAGGTGCCAGCCCCTGACCTGAGACATCCACCTTTACTGGTTCACCGGCCAAGAGGCCAACGGTGGCGTCTGTGCTCCACTGAGACCAGGAAGAGGATGGTCACTTCCAGCATGACCCTGAGCCTGGAAGTCCCCACTTCGGAGTTGCCGGTAATAGACTGCATCACTGCCGGGCCGTATATTGCGCCCAGAGCTGCTGATGTGCTTTTATGGGGGATGATGCATGGAATTTTCTAGGCGTGGAGACTGGATGGTTTTAGATAGGTTAAGAGGCCACTGATGGACACAGATAACGAGAACTGAATCAGATGAGGCCTTTGGCCAGGACACAACGAGTTCTGTGATCTTCTGGGTGGCCTTGTTCAAGGCCCCAGGGAGCGGGGCCAGAAGTAGCCTCCAGCGATTCCAGGCAGAGGGACCTGGGCACTGCCTTGGGGTTTGATCCCTGCGAGGACACTGTCCTTTGATCCCATATTCCATCTTCTCTCTCTCTCACCCTCCTCTACATCCCCCCTCGCCCCCCATGCTCCAAGGCAAAAGGCCTTGCAAGGACGTTGCAGGTCCCAGAGCACCCCGACAGCCAGCTGCCAGAAGGGAAAAGGAGATTCAACAAGCGCCTCTCTGTGTATTTGCTGAGCTCCCAGGCCCTGGAAATAACCTCGGGGAACAAGTAACCCACACAGCCCCCGGCGGGTGGGATACCCTGGAGAGGATGTCGCCGGAGACCCGGGGACCCGACGGGACCGGCCTGCAGCTCCCTGCTTCCCAGCTGGGTCACCGTGCACAAGTCACCCAACCGCTCGAATGCCTCCGTGTTCCCAGCTGTAAAATAGGGACGCGGCTTTCTGTCCTACCTAGTGCACCTGGGGGGGGGGGGATGGGGCACGCGGGGGCTCGCTGGGAATGCCCCAGGCGGCCGGCTCCCGGGCTCTGGTTTGGCTCCTCTCCCTACTTGGACTTGCTGCCCCGTCACCTCCCGGCGCGGGACGGGCCCTCCTCGGTGCGCGGGGACGACCGCCGGCGGGGGCGCGACCCCGGCCCGCCCCGACCCCGGCCCCGGCCCCGGCCCCGGCCCGACCCCGCGGCCCCACCTTGCCACACTTCTTCAGCTTCTGCCGGTACCTCCTCGCGGGCCTCCCGCCGGGCGCCGGCTCCTCCAGCGGCTCGTAGCGCTCGGGCAGCGCCGCCAGGTGCACCGCGCGCGCGCCCCGGGCCCCCGCCCGCCCCGCGCCCGCGCCCGCGCCCGCCCCGCGCGCCTCGGCCCCGCGCTCGGGCGGCTCCAGGAGGGCGGCCGCCTCCTCGTCCGCCGGCGTCCGCGCTCGGCCCCGCGGCCCGCGGCGCAGGAAGCCGCTCGCCGCCTTGCCCCGCAGCCGGGCTCCCGCCGTCATGATGCTGCGGCCGCTGCGGCCGAGGGCGCGGCGAGAAGACGCCGAGCTCCGCGCCCCGCCCCCGCCGCCCGCGCCCCCGCCCCCGCCCCCGCCCGGACGGACGGACGGACGGACAAGCGGACGGGGTGGGGGGAACGCGGGTGGCAGCGCCCTCTGGCCGCTGGGCTGGGAGCTGCGCCCCCGCCCGGACGGACGGACGGACGGACGGGGAACGCGGGGGGCAGCGCCCCCAGACCGCGGGGCTCGGAGCTGCGCCCCCGCCGCAACCCACCCCCCACCCCACCGGGCGACCCCAGCGGGGGACCCCGAAGGCGGGGCGCGCAGCCAAGTCCCAGACACGCCCGACCCGGCCCCCCTCCAAATGACGAGGCGTCGTTTGCCACGTTCGGGTCGGCAGAGGCGGTGAGAAGAAGAGGGGGGCCGCCGAGGCCGTGGTGGGGCGCGGGTGATGGCGCGCTGTGCACGGGGTGCGCCCCGGCGACGGACTTTGGGGAAGGCGATCAGAAATTATACACACACACACACACACACACACACACAAAGGAAAGAGAAAGGAAAGAAAGAAGAAAAGAAAGAAAAAAGAGAAAGAAAGAAAGAAAGAAAGAAAGAAAGAAAGAAAGAAAGAAAGAAAAGAAAGAAAGAAAGAAAGAAAGAAAGAAAGAAAGAAAAAGAAAAAGAAAAAGAAAAAGAAAGAAAGAAGAGAAAAAAAGAAAAAGGAAAGAACGCCTGGCTGGCTCAGCGGTTGAGCACCTGCCTTCAGCCCAGGGCATGATCCTGGAGTCATAGGATCGAGTCCCGCCTCGTGCTCCCTGCATGGAGCCTCCTTCTCCCTGCCTGTCTCTGCTTCTCTCTCCGTGTCTCTCAGGACTGAATACATAAAATCAAGAAAGAAAAAAAAAGAAAAGAAAAGAAAAGAAGAAAGAGAGAGAGAGAAAGAGAGAAAGAAAGAAAAGGAAGAAAAAGAAGGAAGAGAAGAGAGAGAGAGAGAGAGAGAGAGAGAAAGAAAGAAAAGAAAAGAAAAGAAAAGAAAAGAAGAAAAGAAAAGAAAAGAAAAGAAAAGAAAGAGAGGATCCCGAATGGCTCAGTGGTTTAGCACCGCCTGCAGCCCGGGGCGTGACCCTGGAGTCCCGGGATCGAGTCCCGCATCAGGCACCCTGATGGTGCCTGCTTCTCTCTCTGCCTGGGTCTCTGCCTCTCTCTGAATCTCTCGGGACTTGATCCTGGGACTCCAGGGTCATGCTCTGGGCCAAAGGCAGGCACCAAACCGCTGAGTCACCCAGGCGCCCCCTCACGGTGAATCTTAAACTTCTGGGGAAAGCCTTACTGTTTTATGCCAGTAAAATCTCTCTTTTTAAAAGTCGGTTCCATGCGCAGCCGGGAGCCCAAGGCGGGCCTTGAACTTCCCACCCTGGGATCAAGACCTGAGCTGAGATCAAGAGCCATCCAGGGGCCCTATCTGCCAGTAAATGTCTTTTAATTCTTGGAAACTAAGAATTAAGTATAAAATAATATGGGTTATTAATTTCATTAATATTTTAATAGTATTCAAGTGCATGATACATTTAAGAATGATTTGGATATGTTGCTATAACTACATAAAATATTTACAATTTAGCTTATTGGGATATTTTAATACTAGTTTTATGATTCCAACTCAAAATGTATAATCAAGTAATTGATTTAGAGCTACACGTTTGCATTCAAAGGATTATAAAAGTAGATTTAATTTACTAGGGGCACCTGGGTGGCTCAGGTCATGATCCCTTGGTCATGGGATGGAGCCCCACAAGCCATCTGGCTCCCTGCTCCGCGGGGAGCCTGCTTCTCCCTCTCCGTCTGCTGCTCCCCCGGCTTGTGCTCTCTGTCAAATAAATAAATAAATAAAATATTTTAAAAAATAAATTTAATTAACTATATTTGCAAGAAGTACATAGCCTTGTATACATAGCTGAAATACTTGAAAATTAGATATATTAAGCTTGTAAAAGTCATTTAAAATGTTTAAGATAATTAAATTGGGTGAATAGTAAAAATCCTCCTTACAGTAATTAGGTTAGTAAATAAAACAAAGGTTAAGGGAATAGATTTGTGGATTTTTTTTTAACTAAAGTAACTATTAATTTATATATACAAAAGAAAGAGGTCTTAACAGTCCTTTTTTCTGAGTATAAAACTGACTTCAGGGGTGCCTGGCTGGCTTAGTCGGTGGAGCATGCAACTCTTGGTGAGTTCTAGCCCCACACTGAGTGTTTAGAGATTACTTTAAAAAAAAACAACAAAAAAAAAACCTGACTTCAGAAGCCCCTCTCCCCACAGACTGCATATCAAATACAAAGGTAAAATATGCAAGGTTTTTGTTCATACAAAATACTATTCAAATATCACATTTCCTTTTTTTTTCTTCCAAATTTTAATTTAAATCCTAGCTAGTTAACATAAAGTATAATGTTGGTTTCAGGAGTGGTTCATCACTTATATACCATACCCAGTGCTCATCACATCAAGTGCCCTCCTGATACCCATCCCCCACCTGGCCCATCCCCCATCCACCTCCCTCCATCAACCCTCAGTTTGTTTTTTTTATTATTATTATTATTATTATTAAGATTTTATTTATCTATTCATGAGAGACACACACACACACACAGAGGCGGAGACACAGGCAGAGGGAGAAGCAGGCTCCATGCAGGGATCCTGAAGTCGGACTCGATCCTGCGTCTCCAGGATCAGGCCCTGGGCTGAAGGCAGTGCTAAACCGCTGAGCCACCCAGGCTGCCCTCAGTATGTTTTCTATCACTAAGAGTCTCTGCTGGTTTGGGGGTACCTGGGTGGCTCAGTTAGGTAAGCAGCTGACTCTTGATTTCAGCTCAGGTCATGATCTAGGGGTCCATGATCAAGCCCCAGGTCAGGTCTCGTTCTCAGTGTGAAGTCCACTTGAAGATTTCTCTCCCTCTCTTTCTGCCCCTCCCACCACTCATGTGCTTTCTGTCTCTCAAATAAATGGGATAGATCTTTAAAAAAGGGGGGGGGGGAGTCTCAGGGTTTACCTCCTTCCTCCCATATATTCATCTGTTTTGTTTCATAAATTCCACATGAGTGAAATCCTACAATGTTTGTCTTTCTCTATTTTGCTTTGTATAAAACATTATAGTTCCATCCATGTCATTGCAAATGGCAAGATTTAATTCTTTTTGACAGCTGAGTAATATTCCATTGTATATATAACACCTCTTCATTATCCATCCATCAGTTTTTTTTTTAAAGATTTTATTTATTGGGATCCCTGGGTGGCGCAGCGGTTTGGCACCTGCCTTTGGCCCGGGGCACGATCCTGGAGACCCGGGATCGAATCCCATGTCGGGCTTCCGGTGCATGGAGCCTGCTTCTCCCTCTGCCTATGTCTCTGCTCTCTCTCTCTCTCTCTCTCTCCGTGTGTGACTATCATAAATAAATAAAAATTAAAAAAAGATTTTATTTATTTATTCATGAGAGACACACAGAGAGAGAGGCGGAGACACAGGCAGAGGGAGAAGCAGGCTCCATGCAGGGAGCCCGATGCGGGACTTGATCCCAGGTCTCCAGGATCATGCCCTGTGTCAAAGGCAGATGCTCAACCACTGAGCCACCCAGGCGTCCCTCCATTCATCTGTTGATGGGCATTTGGGCTCTTTCCATAATTTGGCTATTGTTAATAATGTTGCTATAAACATTGGGGTACACATACCCCTTCAAATCTGTATTTTAAAATTTTTTATTTAAATTCAATTAATTAACGTATAATGTATTATAGGGTTCAGAGGTAGAGGTCAGTGATTCATCAGTCTTACATAATCCCCCGTGCTCATTACGTCATGTGCCCTCCTTAATGCCCATCACCAGTTACCCCATCCCCCCACTCTCCTCCCCTCCAGTGACCCTCAGTTTGTTTTCAAATCTGTATTTCTGTATCCTTTGGGTAAATACCTAGCAATGCAATTGCTGGATCTTGGGGTAGCTCTATTTTTTAACTTTTTGAGGAACCTCCATACCGTTTTGCAGAGTGGCTGCCCCAGTTTGCATTCCCACCAACAGTGTAAGAGGGCTCCCCTTTCTCCGTCCGCATCCTTCCCAATCCCTGTTATTTCTTGTGTTGTTGATTTTAGCCATTCTGACAGGTGTGAGGTGATATCTCACTGTAGTTTTGATTTGATGGTGAGTGATGTCGAGCAACTTTTCATGCGTCTGTTGGCCATGTGTGTGTCTTTTTGGGAAAAATGTCTATCTATTCATGTCTTCAGCCCCATTTAATTGGATTATTTGTTTTTTGGGTGTTTAGTTTGATAAGTTCTTCATATATTTTGGATACTAACCCTTTATCAGCTACATCATTTGCAGATATCTTCTCCCATTCTGTAGGCTGCCTTTTAGTTTTGTTAATTGCTTCCTTTGTTGTACAGAAGCTTTTTATCTTGAAGTCCCAATAATTCATTTTTGCTTTCAAATACCACAACATTTAGCTTGCCTCTTAAAGGAAAACACTGGAATAACTGAAAATTGATCCTCAAGTAAGTCTCTGCAACCAGTGAGCAAGCAGGACTTGAAGAGATGTAATCAGAAACCATCTTTACGTTGCTTGCCATTGTCTCTTTAGTGGTTATTCAGTATGGAAAGTGCTTCCTTTGCTCCTGGGTGAGAAGTTAGGCAGGCTTTTAGGTTTTTTGATCACACAGTGGTAACAAAAAGTTCCAAGGTTGCAAACGTGGTCTTGATTTATATAATTTTTATTTATTTATTTATTTATTTATTTATTTATTTATTTATTATTAAGTAGGGTTCATGCCCTACATGGGGCTTGAACTCATGAC